ATGTATAACATTAGTATAACTGCAACTAATTAATTATTTTATCAACAACTTTCTTATTGGACACTATCAGAGATAGCACTACACGCTTTAGCATACATGTTCTCACAGAGATACAATTCCTAATAAGACTCGAAATGTGTAAACCAGAGACACGGTGAGATGATCTATCGTCTTATGCATATAATGCTTGCCACAGCTATTTTAATTAATTCTTCCATGGTATTCGCGAGGCTAATCATCGTGTGACCACTGTCAAGATTACTCACGTTCTTTCGGTACGTGAGTTAAGGGAGGTAGGCACTAGTGTATCCTCTAAGGTCCACAATTGGAGTTGGGTACATAGTGAAGTAGATGTTAGAGTGTATAAATGGATGATCTATCAATCGTTGAATCGGTTATGAGCCTTAAAATAGAAGCCAAATACTTCAATATAACACACTCATAACTTGGTTCGAAGGACTTGAGGTGCTCCTTTAAGCTAGCATCGTAAATCGTTAAATATATTTTTATACTATTTGTAAATTGTAAAATTCAAGTAATTACGTAATTATTTGCTTATTAAAAAAAAAATTGTTTTCAAAAAAGCCCGTTTAAAATTTCAATGGGCTATAATTGAATCGTACATGAAAATTTTGAGATTATATCTACAATTTAATCAACTACACATGTTCTTCAAAATTTATTTTGGCTGTCATTTTACAATAATAAAAACTGAACTTAACCCCAATACTTTTTTGTTATAAATCTATAATTATAAATTTTTTATGACTGATAGGAAATTTTTATGGATTTAAAAAGTGTAGTTTTTATTTTTTTAGCATAACTTTATGCGAATTGACATTTTTGTAGCACAAAAACAATCATTACTGCTAAAACTTACCCATAATTTTTGCTTACGACAGAAAACACCTTTCTATACAAAATATAAAAATCTTAAAAACCCAATTATGTGATTTATGAGCTTATAAATCACAAAAATTATGTTATAAGCCATTTGTATACATAGCACTTATTTTTATGTTTCCGATTTTACCGTCCGAGAATTAAATTTAAACTGAATAATTAGATTTTTCGATATCATTTCAGAGGTTTATAAATGAGGAAAATATTGTTGCAGAAATATATTTACATTATGTAAGTACTTTGATTAAATTATTCTCAGTGAGAGAGGGTAGACATCATCCTCTCCCAAAAAACATAAAATTTACTTGTAATAGGGACATTTTTATTTTGTTGGGAAAGGGTGTTAATATTTTATCTTATTTTTAACTTTCTACTCGGAATAGTTTTGTGCTCACAGCTATCTATCACAATAAAAATAATAAATAAAATATTCTAAATATTTATTATATGTATTTTTAGTATAGAATTAAACGAATATCTTCATTTTATTAATTTTTTAGATGGCTTATTATAACAGAAAAAAATATGGAACACCAATAATGGTTGACATCGTATGTTACTTTTATTATAATTGCTGTATATTTAAACACATATTTTTTTTTACATATTTAAAGCATGTAGTTATAAACAATTATTTATAGGTAATTATTTTATTTTAAATACTTAATTTATCAAAAATTATATATAGTATTGAGAATTTTATTTTTGATTTCATTTAGGTCTATAGTTTAGTCAATTTATCAATCAAATTTTTCGTGTTCAACTCTTATAATTTATAAGGGTATCAACTTTATTTATTCATAATTTATGTTTATATATTAAAATTGATACTCCTTGGGGAATAGAGAAGTGCGGTCTAAAAATGAAAAATATACCAGCAATCATGAATCACCTCTAGTCATTACTTTAATTTTTGTTGGAAAAATAAAATTAACATCCTTATAAAATGTATGGGATTAACATAAAAAAAATTCTATGATTGAATAATTGACTAAAACACGAAAATAAAAATAATCACACTATAGAAAATTTTCTTAACTTTTTATACTATTATAAAAAGTATTGTAACATATAGTGGACTTGGTTATCTTTTACATGGTCTTAAACAAAATGAAAACTACATATAAAAATATATACAAAACCTTAATTTTACAAAAAAGTTCGAGATTCAATAAATAGTAAATGTAAATTTTTAAAACAAAAATTACTGAAGGGAGTAGCAAAGATATCAGAATGTAAAACGCAAAAAGTTTTTTATGACTTATTAGCTTCTATGCGAAGCTGAGAAGGTATTAATTTTACTATGATGTGTTTTTTTTTTTTTTTTAATGAATCATAAGAATTCTCTGGAGTTAAAAACATATCTACAGCAATTGGTGCATGTTGCAACCTAAAACATGAAAATTAATTGATTAGATTTATTTAATTAATTTTTTTTTAATATTTCATATTAAGTGTTAATAAAATAAATATTAATAAAACGGTAGCACAGTGGGGTCGAGGCACAGTGTAGACCAGGCATAGATATGACAAGTATAGATGATATTTGACAGTGATTAAAATCACTATCATAAGAAACGCTTCGATGCAAATCTGTAGATAGTGTTTCATTTAGAGAAATTGGTGGATTATTGCAAAAGCAACATCAACTCCTATTTCTTTGATTATATCCTAATTAGTAATTCTTTGATTTTAAAATATAATATATGAATAAATACTAATTATAATTATTAAATTTAGTATGAAATTGATATTCAATAATTTAATATTGTAATTTAAACGGAGAAATTATAAAAATAATAAAGAAGTTNGAACTTTATTCTATGTCAATTAAATTATATAATATTCATGAAAGTCAATATATTCTCCTAATAAGATATTTTAAAATAAAATAAAATACAAAACCTAGAATTTTAATAGAAAAATAGTATATTTTTGAATACGGTAGCCATTTGCGCATAGAAGATAGGTCGTCGGGACAAATTTTTTTTTTTCATTTTATAGTACATAAAATAAGCTTATAGTATTTTATTTTATTTTAAAATATCTTATTAGGAGAATATATTGACTTTCATGAATATTATATAATTTAATTGACATAGAATAAAGGTCATAAGGCATAAGACATAAGAAATTAAACTTATTAAATTTTTTTTACTTTTTTAAAGTCCTAAAAGTAATTTTTAAATTTGAGTTAGCTTAAATAGCCAATTTTTTCATGACACGAAAGCAACGAACGAGTCGGGAACACTTGTGTTTTACATGCCTAGGATACGAGGTTCAAATCCGTCTGTGGCCAATAAAATTTTGCATTTTTTTTGAGTTAGAATAAAATTTTCAAATCATTTGATATTTATCTCATTTACATTCAATAACTTCAATAAATATAAAGGATCCTATCACTATAGTCTTCTCTCGTGAGAAGAAATTTATATTCATGTTAATATTATTTTACTATGTGGTTTTTTTTGTGGCTACGGTTTATTTTGCCAACTCTCACTAAACCTAATTTTTTCAACGATACGTCAAATGATTACAGTTCGTATTTAGTTTAAGTTATTACTTTTAAAAATCAAAAAAATATTCCTTATTTAAATAAAAAGTAGCTTAACCAGCTTTTTCCATACCACCAATTAAAATCATTAATTTCTAATATTCTTAAAGTATTCATTGTCGAATTTGATTTAATATGATAAAAGTACTCAACTACAAAAGTAAATAATTTTACTTTGTAATTTATTAATTTTTTAACTCTATTCATGTGTGCTACTACCAGTTATATTTTATTTTAAAATATCTTATTAGGGGAATACACTGACTTTCATGAATATTGTTCTATTAAAACTTTCATTTTAAAGGAAAAAAAAAAGTAGGTTCAAAATGATTACTTTTAACATATTAAAAATCAAAATCAATAATTATTTGAAAACAATTAATTTTAAAAATTATATAATATATAATTAAAAGAAATACTACTCTGGGTATAATTAAGGAAATAGAAGTTGATGTTGCTTTTGTCCATACATTTTTTAGAATTAAACATTATCTAATGATTTGCATCGAAGCGTTTCTTATGATAGTGATTTTAATCACTGTCAGATTAAATCTATACTGTACCTAACTATGCAACATACCCACTATACCGCGACTCCACTGTGCTAGGTTTTTTTAACTGCAATTGGCCGCTTCTAAATTTTTTTTTTTTTTTAATTACTGATATTTATATTTTAAGACGTTTGAAGAAGATTCTATCGTATTAAATTGTAAGAAAAAATCAGCATTATATAAATACCATTACAACGGTATGTATAGATCATGTGAATAAGATCCGAATGTTACCTATTAAATCATATTACTGTAATATCAAAACAACACAGAAATTCATTGTAATATCATTGAGAAAATTAACAAATTATAAAATCATTTTATTTACAGAAAATGGTATTAAAAGGCTTGAGAAATTCATTCAAGATATTGACAATAATATTAAATTCAAAGTAGTTAAAATTTATGTGAGTTTATCAATAAGTTTATGATACTTTCATACATTTGACTTTAAATTTCATCATTCCACAAATATAATTGAATTTTAAGTAAATACAAAATGCATCACTAACTGCATATAAATGTAAATTTGACGAATATAAATGAGTTTTTTTTTCTTTAAAATGTTTATAAAAGTCAATACCTAAAATAAAATAAATTGGAAATTATTGTCGCGTGTAGCTATGACAAATCCAATGGAAATATAATGTCCATCTTTATCAATAAGGTAAAACATAGCTGATCATTTGGGTGTAAGGATAAGTAACCTCTTTCTTCTTCATCACGTTATAAGAGTAATAGACTTAATTAAAATATAGTGTAGAGAAAGTAGAACAAATTTTTGGGTGACTATTCTTTTTGGAGTAATTAGTGACATAAATAAAGTTTATAAAATTTCCGTTAAACTGTTTGTATATATTTTTTTTGTATTATCTTTATGCAAAATCGTATCAAAACATTTTATAATAGTGATAAATATTATTATAAGTGACAGCTAGCAGGACAACCGCATTAGTGGACGTCTAGGTATAACTGAGTTTTTTTTTAAATATATTTTAATTTTATTAAAGTAATAGTTGAAAAATATTATGGTTTAATACGATTTGAGTTTCAATTTATAATACCTCTACTAAAGAGACAGATAATCTTTTTAATTACATTCATATATCATAAACACACTAGTCTATCTATTCAACACCAAAGTTACTCTGACCCAACTAGTAGTATGCGGCGTGTTAGATGAACAGACTTGATGACATTATTACTCATATAAAAACTCGCAAAATCTAGTATTTTATTAAATAATTTATTCTATCTAGTTAATTCGCTAAAAAAAGCAAATTTATAAAAACAAATTTTATTGATCATAGTTTCATTTACAACTGGAAGTATTAACTTATTTTTGCTATTGTAAATATGTCATGGTAGACCCTATAAAATATCTTTTAATTTAATGTTAATAAATTACAGTTTGGTATAAATTTTAAATACGTTTTTTACAGAAAATTAATAATGATGATGTTACACCTTTAATAAATGATACGATTTATGATAAAGAAATATTACTTCAACTAAAAAATATTCAACATTTGTCTTTATGGAATTATGTCAAAAATGATCTTATTATATTGAACTCTATTGAAAAATCCTATACAACGCTTGAAGATTTAATTAATAATTCAACGACATACAAAAGAAGTCTTCAATCGACTCTTGATGAAGCAATAAAAATTATGTATCATCGATCTATTAGATATGTGATTTTGCTATCTGCATATGCCTATGAAGCTCTATTTATTGAATATGATACAACATCATATTGGCAACAGTTATTAGAAGTTTCTGATAANAAATATGATACAACATCATATTGGACACAGATATTAGAAGTTTCTGATAAAATAAGTTCGGCAATGTATAAATTGGATCGCTATAACAGTTTAAGTTACGACTTGGATCTATTTAAAGACCAAGAGAATGACGGAGAAAATAAAATTGCTCTATTTAAAGGAATGGTAAACAAATATGTGTATTTCCTCTTAACACCTGAAAAACTGAAAAAATACGGTTTTATAAATGAATTTACAGTACAGGATCTTTGTAATAATCAAGTACTACCACAACGTATACTAAATAAATTGTTAAAAGGATTTCCCAAACAACAAGATAATGAAGAGCCATACAATTTTCATGATATACAGCAATTTCATGATACACAAAACTTTCATGATTTAGAAAAAAATCTAGATGAAATAATGAAAAAATTAGAGATCATTTTCAGTTTAATTCACGCAGAATATAACACAATTGTCTAAATAGATTTATAACTTTTGATAAAATCTTTAAATAGGATACAATATTTATCCTGCCTAGTATAAATTTATCGTCTAAAAACCTTTATAATAATTAATTAGTTTAATAATTAAATAGTTTAAGCAGATTTAAAAAGAGTAGAAAATTCATAATACCATTTTTGAGTAATTAAAAAAATAATTGATTAACATATTGATATAAAATATACTATATTATAAATACATGGTTTATTTTCAATATTATTTTGTTATAAAATAATTTTTTTCAAATGATTGTGCAACGTATTAATTTAAAATAAAAACAATAATCTATTATATTATTTATGTTTCATTATTTATGAAAAATTATAGTTATATTTTTCGGAACTTTTATAAAAATAAATTAATAAATACTAGATTCCGTCCCAGACCTGGGATCCTACAAGCCTAACGCTAGTTGTATGAGGCCCTTCGTTCCATTCTTACGTGTAGATCACAGATTCTATTAAGATTAACGTCGGACGTGATATTGACTCATATTGACTTTTATAATTTTATAACAATTTTTTAATAGTAGCTTTAGAAGATGGAGTTGATTTCATTAAAGTTCCGTCATCTTCTCTTGTTAATATTTTAATAAACTAAATTTATTTTATTTGTTAATCCGTTTATGAATTTTTACTGCAATATAATTCCTGACACAAGAGTCTGGTTTCAGAAAAAAAATTAAAAATCTGAATTTTTTTAGATTTATGAAAAACTGACATTTTACCTAATCACAGAAAAGGAATCGAAATGTCAACTTTTCCAAAAATATTATCTTTATCAACTCAACTTTTGAAAATGATACGGAAATATTGACACTTTTATGTATATCTTAAATTACAGCTTAATCAATATACTTTAATTAAAAAAAAAANTGTTGTACAATAACTTATTTAAAACTCTTTTTAAGAAATTAATGTATACTGCATAAACGTATTAAGATATGCACATCTGTTATATATGCTGCCAATTAATTATATATTAATTTGGTAACGCTTCCATCCGATAACAGAAAATGGTAGACGAGCGTCTCGGCCGTCTCTCAGCACTTCATCCGGACGTTACGTTTTTCGACTACATGTGCGATCGTTGTATGACACCGAGTTACGTCGGTTCTTGTTTGTGTGTCTGCGTTGTCGTCACCATCTTGACTCGTTTTCCTACATGGCTCTATGGAGCTTACGAACATGAAGTTGTTAACAACGCTAATATGTCGCCCTTACGATAGCCGCACATTTTGTGGGTTAGTGTTTATCGCCCTTACGGTAACCTTATTTTAAAGTACTAAATATTCATACATTTTAGTACTGTTTGCGACAGTACGTTTTGTCTAGTTTATGCGTCATACGAATGACTTCCTCGTTTTCCAGTTACATCTACCAGTCATCGTCATCGTTGTAGATAAGCAGTTGTTGTACATATTGTTTTGTTTTAATTTTTTAATTTTATTATTTTAACGCCGTTGTGATATTGATTTTAAGCGTCCCTCTACCCACATTGACATATAAATATAATACTTTTTGGTTCATGTTTTCAATACAGTAAATTGTTTATATCCTTCAAATTCATTTTATCCATTCAGACAGTCCACTTGCCTAATTTTTTTCTCCTGTCTGATTAAAGACAATAACAACAAACACCAGTATTACCGGGCGTTTCGTTCAAATAGATAGAGATGGTTAGGGAACCAGTCCCTTCAATTTTTTTTTTTTTAATATTTATTTTGATTTTAAATTTGTTATAATTCAAATAAAATAAACAATAATCGTTAAGT